TACACACACACACACACACACACATACACACACACACACACACACACACACACATATCACGCGAAAGATGTTGTTACAAGATGGGTTGGATGTCAATGCCGAAGAAAAAATCGACACGAGCCGATGGGAGGTTGAGGAAGGGAAGCTTCGGTAATGCGGACACAATGTCCGCCTCAGACTGCATGATTTGGCATCGCAGTGCAAGGCAGCACATTTGTTGTAGAGTGGGCACGTGCTGTCGTTGACTTGTGACCCTCAAGCTGCCCAATCGTTGCCGCGTTGTCGCAGTCGTTGTGTGCTCATCTCCTGCTCCTCCCCTGGTATCTGATGTTTCTGCAGTCACCGTGGTTGTCTCCATCCCTGTCTCCGTATTGGTCGTTGTGGTTACAGCTACTGGTGCGGTTGCATCAAAGCGCTGCAGCCGCTGCCACACCCACGGCGGCGAGCACATGTTTGGTGGCAGCATGGCTTGTGCGACGTGCTGGGGAACGATCTGGGCAGCGCCGAGGCCAACCAGCACCCGCCACTCCGGCAGCCCACGCAGCAGACGCAGCAGCCCGTCCTTCGTGCATGCGACTGCATCATCGCGCGTACACATGCAGTGCAAGATGGGAAGGTACTCTGCAATCACCTCCGCGTCCATGCGTGACAGCCGACCCGTCATGGCGACGCGATGCGCAGCAACACGCCCGGCGCGGACTGTGTCGCTCTGGACCACCGCAACGAGCGCCTCGGCAACGTCTTCAGTCGCGTCGTCGTTCCACGTTGGCAGCTGCAGGGCGGACATGTGCGGGCACTGCAGGGATGCGCGCGCAATGGAGGTGTACCACTCGTGCCGATGCTCGCGGCCCTCTGGACGCAACACGACGTCCTCACGGTGGATGGACAAGTGCTGGAGGCAGGGGTGACCCCGGGCGAGCCACGCTGTAACGTTGCTGCAGCATTCGCGCGGCCACGAGGTGACGTCTACACTCAGCAGCTGCAGCTGTGGTGGCGCCGGCGCCTCGGGGTTGAAGAGGCCACGGCACGCTGCCTGCCCGGGTACGTCGCACCAGTTGATGGTGAGGTGGGTGAGACGGGCCAGCCTGCACACACGCGCCAGCAGCCGCTGTGCGCCGTTGGTGCTGAGTCGCGTGTATTGTAAATCGAGGCGGTGGATATGCGGGCAGACAGCGAGCAGCGCATCGCCCAGTGCAGCTGCAGCGCACCTGGTGGGCGCGGTTGATGCTGGTGATGATGACAGTGGAGCTTGTGATGCAGGTGCGCGTGATGTGTGAGCGTCATCGCCTGAGATGCCGTGTTGCTGCTGGTGCTGGTGATGGGCAATTGCACTCGCTATGCTGGCTAGGTTGTGCGGACGACCGCGTTGGTGTTGGTGGTCTGCGTCAGGGTGGGTGTCATCTGCGGTGTCCGTGTCGCTTTCATCGTCAACCAGGCGAATGTTGTCGAGGGCGAGGTCTTGCAGCACGGCTGCGAACGGCGACCGTGATTGCGACGAGGGCGAGGGCTGTGTTGGGTCGGTGGCTGGTGGTGTTGGGGCGCCGATGGCACGGAGGTCTCTGGCCAGGAGACTGCCTCCAGAGAGGCGGAGCCGCTGCACGCTGTGGAGGAGGCACGTGAGCTCGTGTGCCGTAAAGGGGCCGGGAGAGTGGATGCCACTGTATTCCAAGAGAAGAAATTTTAGTGGGTTATGGTGCCTCACGCGATCGAGGGCTTTGAGAAGCTCGGGGAAGGCGTTGTCGGCAAAGTCGCAATCGCACAGGAGGAGCTCATCCAGGTCGCGCTCTGGATCTTGAAGTGCACGCCCAAGGCTGTTGATGAAGCAGGGATGGATGACACACGCATACAGGTGCAGCGTCTGGAAAACAGGGGGTCGGGAAGCGTGCATCGCAGATGAGTGAGAGGAGCACAAGAGTGGTGTGAAAGGGCAGCGAAGTGTAGTGTAGAAGGACAGCAAAGTCCATGCATGATGCTGCCCGACAGCCTCACGAGGGTCCTACCTGCGCTGTTCGAATGCCTCGAATAGACCTCACACTTTCGGCCCGAACATCCGTGCTGGTGTGTGTGTGTGTGTGAGGAAGTGTGAGTGTGTGGGTGTGAGAATGAGTTAGTGAGTGAGTGTGTGAGGGTACGTGAGTGTGTGTGAGTATGTGTGCATATGTTTGTGTGTGTGTGTGTGTGTGTGTGTGTGTGTGTGTGTGTGTGTGTGTGTGTGTGTGTGTGAGCGTGGCATCAAAGCACGAGGGCGTGTCAACAGCAAGCAAGAAGACTCGTGCAGTTGAGCGCAGCAAATACGCAGGGTTGCGAGCACCCTTACCAGCGCACTGTCACCTTGGACATCTTCTTCGTCGAATGTGTTGATGTGACCACAAGCAAGGCAGCAAAAGGCGGTGCTGATGATGTGAGCAAGCACCACTCCACCACCAGACTCTGGCAAGTTGTGAGGATTTGTGGGCGATTTGCACCATTTTTCAGCAGCACGAGTGCGACGATGAGCGGACGGCGAGGAGGAAAGCGCAACGCGTTTGGGCGCACGGTGCGCATCAACCGCAAGACCAAGCTGGTCGTGCAGTTTGACGAGGATGACAGACAGTGAGTAACGTGCCTTTGGGCTCGATCTTCTTGCCTGGGCTTTGTGAACTTGGGTATGCTTGGATGACGTGGGACATTGGGTGTGCTTGGATGATGTGGGAACTTCTGTGAGCGTGTGCGATGTGGGAAGGAAGTGTGGTATCTGGGTTGCATGGCTCATGTCTGGCCACGTGCGCGTTGCAGCGATTACCTGACAGGGTTCAGCCGGCGGAAGAAGGAGAGACAGAGAAAGGCGCAAGAGGCTGCCGAGCTCCAGGCGAAGGAGTCAAAACGTGAAGAGAAGCAACACGTATGACATATATGCCGCGCAATGTCATGCATGTGCATGTGTGTATGTGTGTTTCTGTGTGTGTGTGTATATGTGTTATGTGTGTGTTTCTGTGTGTGTTTCTGTGTGTGTTTCTGTGTGTGCTTTGATGTCCTGGCGATCTCGAATCCTGCGGTTGCTTTGTATACCCTGCTTTGTGTGCTGCATGTCCCTCATCCACCCGGCCACCTCATCACGTGTGCGTGCGATGCTGTTGTGTGTGTAGAAACGTGAGGCACTGCGAAAGCGTCTCAGCAAACTCACCAGCATCCCCGAGATCCTTTGTAAGCGCTTGTAGAACCATGTCAGCGACATTGTGAGAATCGCCTTTGCTTAGTGTCCCCCACCAGACACGCGCACGTGTTCTTTACAGGCCTCTGGCGTCTCCTGCAAACACCCTTGTTTCGTTCCGCACTACTTTCTTTCGTTCACATCCATCCCTCCCTCGTTCACTTGCCCACTTGCTCGCTTGCTCACTTGCTCACTCTCTCTCACACATTCACACACATTCACACACATCCACACACATTCACACACACACACACACACTCACTCGTGTTCAAAACAACACAGCCAAGCCCGAGTGGGTGGCGACCAACACGGATACCCATCGCTTTGACACAGAGGAGAAGAAGGTGTCGGTGAATGTGGCAACGATGGAGCTGACGGAAGGCCCGCCGAGCATTGACGCGCTGACAGATGATGACGGGCGGCCACAGCGGAAGAGATCCAAGACAGGCAGCGATGCTGCGGCAAAGACGTCAAAGTCCAGCGCCGGTGACAATGACGACGATGAGGAGGATGACACCCGCCATCTCCCACGTGATGACACGACGACTACCATTGAGTTCAAGAAGCGATCTTCGTCGTCCTCCAAGTCGAGGTCGAATCGCGGCAAGCACAGACATGGACGCGGTGGCGGCCGTGGAGGTGGTCGTGGTGGTGGCCGTGGTGGTGGTCGTGGAGGTGGCCGTGGAGGTGGCCGTGGTGGTGGCCGTGGTGGTGGTAAGCGAGGCCGGGGAAGGGGGCGATCGGGCAAGGGCGGGCGCTAGGACAGGCGAGCGCACACGTGTGCGTGTGTCTGTGTGTGTCTGTGTGTGTCTGTGTGTGTCTGTGTGTGTGTCTGTGTGTGCTGTGAGATAGGCGTGCTGCTGGGGGGGGGTTTCATGTGGTCTTGCTCGTTGGCGTTGCTTGTTTTCTTGAGCTAGATGTTGCATTGCTCAGTACACACACACAAGGTTGTAAACGATGCTCGTTGGAGAATATGCAGCGCAACCTCAACACCTCTTCTTGGAGGAGAGAGAGAGAGAGAGAGAGAGAGGTACAGTAGCTGTGTGGCTGGTTTGGCTGTGCCTTGGATTGGCGAAAAGTGGCTAGCAATTTCATACAATTTTCCGTATCGCACGCCAACGAAAGGCAGCCATTTGTTTGACAAACCCTCCCACACACACCTCACACGCAAGCGCAGAGCGACAGAGCAGCATCACAATGTCTGGTGGCGGGTTTCCCGAGGACAAGCAGCCAGGCGAGCTGTTCAAGGCGAGGGGACAAGAGGCGGCCCAGGTGAGACCACAGAAAGGAAGGATAACCCCCTTGGGGATGTAAACGAGAAGGAGGGAGGGGGGAAGGTGCAGCAAGCGTCATGTGTGTGTGTGTGTGTGTGTGTGTGTGTGTGTGTGTGTGTGTGTGTGTGTGTGTGTGTGTGTGTGTGGAGCTCTTGTACGCATGTTTCTTCTGCATGCACGTTCACACAAACACACACACACACATGCACGTGTGAGCTCATCGACTCGTGAATACGCGTGTGACTGCATCATCATGATGAATGAATGCATCACCGCCAACGCGTGCGCTCACCGATAAATTGTTTGCTGCGGTTGGCACACCCCCTTATCGTCATTGTCTTGCTTCTCAGCGCTTGATTGGTGTGGAGAAGCTGAAGATTCTGCGGGAGCGTGTGCGCAAGTGCCATCGGGAGGAAGGCGTTAACCACTTTGAGAACTGTGCGGAACCCGTCGATGCATACCTCAAGGCGCTCGAGGCACACAAGCAACAAAAGAACGCGCTCTGAGTTGTCGACCCGAGTTGGTTTTGGTGAGTTGTCGTACGCTCGTGCGTGCGTGCGTGTGTGTGTGTGTGTGTGTGTGTGTGTGTGTGTGTGTGTGCGTGTTATGTGCCTGTATGCTTGCGTGTTATGTGCCTGTATGCTTGCGTGCGTGTGCGTTGTTCGAATGTGTGCATTTGGTTGGGTTCATGTTTGCGGTCAATTGTGCGTGCAAGCCGTGTTTTGTGCGATGTCGCGCGCGTGCCAGTGACACGAACGTACTGCTGTTCCACGTGTTCTCTGGCATCCTTCTCACTCTTTCCACACACACACACACACACACACACACACACACACACACAGTGGTTGTTTGTCTCTGAAGTGTCCCTCATGCCGTCGTTTCGCGTGTTCGTCTGACTATGCCGCTTTGGTTTTGTTTCGGGTTGCGGCCCCTTCGCTGTCTTGCCTGTCTTGTGTGTGTTTCGCCCTCAATTGAACACCACCATCCCTGCTCGTCCATCATGTCAAGCACACGTCTTTCACCCACACATTCAAAGTGTTGAGCGCCAGCTGAGTTTACTTGGGTGGAGTGGTGTGCGTTTCCACCCATTTGCTTGCGTGCACGCGCGTGTGCGCCGCGCGAGACAAAAGTGGGGAGACATCACACAAGAGGCAACGCAACCACCACCACCAGAACGAGCAAACCCACCAGAACCGCAACCAACCAAGCACTGGTTGCTTCCACATAAAAACACAAACGAACAAAACAAGACTGGACAAAACATGGAAGGAAGGATCATCGCACGTGTCAAGGGGAGATGCAGGCGCTCGAGTGCTGCTTTGGGTGGAGATGGAAGAATCGTGTTTGGGTGTGAACGAGAAAGAAGGAGAGGAAAGGACAGAAGGAAGCAGAGGGTGCAGGACACGCGCAGCCTTTTTTGAATGGATGCGACTGTAGGAACGGAACGAGAGGGATGGTGGACGGTGAAAGAGTAAGCTGGTAAGGGTAGTGCAACGTTGTAGTTGTAAGCAATGTGGGAAGAAGGAAGAAAGGACATGCACAAACAAAGAGGCACTGCACTGGACAAACAAACATAACATGGAAAAAGAAAGAAAAAGGGAAACACAAGAGGTGTGGGTGGGATGACAGTGCGACGCTGCTGTGCATGGGGAGAACCCGTGATGACTGGTGCCTTCATGCATGCATGCATGGCGGCGCCACCTCACCCAGCACCTCAGACTGTCAGAGGATCATCACTGTGTCGTGATAGAGTCAAGCGCGTTCGTGGCAGTAGCTGCGCCGACGTGTGTGGGCAGCACGGTGGGCTCCTGCGCCTTGCCAGAGGAGCGGCGACGACGGAGACGGTTGCTGCCGCTGCCACGCGCATACACGCGTACAAGCGTCACGGCGACAACGCCCACGACGCCGACAACAAGGCCGATGCCGGCAATGGCCACCGCGATGGCAGTGGTGTCCGAGGTGGCTGACTCGTCCGGGTTGGAGGAGAGGAGGCCCAGCGCAGAGGCGGCGAGGATGGAGCGGCGGCGGTTGGCAACGCACTGCAGGCCAAACAGGCCCGAGCCCTCGCCCACAAAGCCGTCGGGGCAGGTGTCAACGCATTCAAAGTTGTGCAGGTACGCGCCATTCTTGCACAGGCGGCATTGGCCAGCCTCACCGCTGACCCAGTCGCACGTGTGGCAGTCGCCGCCGCAGTCGCATGGCTCCTCTGTGACGGTGGTGGTGCGGCCGGCACACGTCTCAGACACGTCTGCAACGCACTGCAGGCCAAAGAGACCGGTGCCATAGCCAACGAAGCCGTCGGGGCAGGTGTCCACGCACTCAAAGTTGTGCAGGTAGGCGCCGTTCTTGCACAGGCGGCACTGGCCAGGCACGCCGTTCACCCAGTCGCACGTGTGGCAGTCGCCGCCACAGTCGCACGCCTGCTCTGTGATGGTGGTGGTGCGGCCGGCACACGTCTCTGCCACGTTGGCCACGCACTCCCGGCCAAAGAGGCCAGTGCCTTCGCCAGAGTAGCCGTTGGGGCACGCATCGACGCAGTTGCCATCTAGCAGGTACTTGCCGTTCTTGCAGACGCTGCAAGAGCCCGGCTGGTTGAGGTCGGCATCCCACTCGCAGCGATAGCAGTCGCCAGCGCAGCGGCAGGCAGCACCCTCGGTTGTCTCCCGGCCAATGCACTCCTCGCCCAGCGGCGGCGCTGTGGCAGGCGTGGATGTCGTGGATGCCGTTGATGTGGTTGCAGCAACACACTCCCTACACAAGTTTGTACACAAGCGTGTGCGTGTGTCATGTGTGTGTGATGTATCGCGTGAGTGCGAGGTGCATGAAACGTCGATCGCTTGCAGACAAGCCCGCAGCAAGCAGGGAAAGGGAGGGAAATGAAAAGTTCAGTCAAGGGGGACGTGTTCACGCGTTTAACACTAGAAAGGGCACAGCACGGCATTACTGCTCACCTGTTGAAGTTGCCTGGTATCGCCAAAGTACAACGGGGACAGGTTGGACGGAGCGAATGAGGCAGGGAAAGAGGGAAGGGATTGTCGCGTGAGAGGATGCGACAAGGAGCAACATGAGCGACACAAAAATACCCGCCATCGGCAATGGCACGCACGCACGCACGCACAAGCAAGCAAAACACGTGCACATCCGTGCCTGCCCCCACGAACCTGATCCCTCGCCCTCATAGCCGACGGGGCAAGTGACGATGCAGTCGCCTTCGAACAGGTAGCGGGCGTTCTTGCAGACGGTGCAAGGGCCAGCGACACCCTCGCCCCACGCGCACGTGTGGCAGTCGTCGTTGCAGCGGCACGCCTCGGCCGTGTTCTGGGTGGTGCGGCCAATGCACACGTCGTCGAAGCCCGGGTTGGAGGTGGGGCCCGTGAGCGGCGTGTCTGTGCCGGTGGTGCTGGACGGCGCACAATAGCGGTTGAAGTTGCCTGGGGGGGGGGGAACAGCATGGCACGTGTGTGCGTGTGTGTGTTTGTGGATGAATACATGGATGAATGACAAAGCAAGTGTGGAAGCTGCGTCACATGCGTTGATACGTGCTTGCGCGCATACAAACACGCAACAATTATGTGGCAAGATCAGCAAAGGCAAAGGCAAAGGCAAAGGCAAAGGCAAAGGCAAAGAACCAACCTGATCCAACGCCAACAAAGCCCAGGGGACAGACGGCAACACAGACGCCATTGTGGAGGTAGAGGCCGTTGCGGCAGACGGTGCACGAGTTTGCGACAATGCCGTTGTTGTACGAGCACGTGTGGCACTCGTTGATGACATCGCGGCAGTCGCAGGCGTCGCCCGTGACAGAGGTGGTGCGGCCAACGCACTCCTGCAGCTCGCCGAGGTCTGTTGTCGGGGTGACGGAGGTGGTGGTGGAGTAGCAGTTGACGTTGAGGAGGTCGTCGCGCACCTCGTCTGTGAGCGAGTCGAAGTCGGCGACAATAAACACGTCGGACGGGGACGAGGCAATCTCCTGCAGCTCGGCCTCGTTGACGGCGGCGGTGACGCCGATGGTGACGACCTGCGCACCGGTTGCCTGGAGCGCGGCTGCGCCCGGGGTGACATCGTCCTGCGACGCGCCGTCCGTGAAGACGTACACGATGGCGGGACCGCCGCGGTAGCCCGCGCTCGCCTGCAGCATGTTGTCGGCGAAGAAGTTGAGCGCGGAGCCCGTGGCGGTGCCGTACTGGCGCGAGTCGTCGTAGACAAGGCTGCTGATGGCGGACACGACCGTTGCACGGTCGAAGCTGTCGTCAAAGTCAAACTGCGGCATGTTGCTGGAGTGGTATGTCATGAGGGCGACGCGGACCGTGTTCTCGCCCACGGGCAGCATGTCCACGGTGCTGGCGATGAAGTCGCGCACGAGCGCAAAGTTGGCTGCGCCGACGCTGCCGCTGACATCAACAATAAAGCCGACGTCGACAGCCTCGAACCCGCACGGCGGCCGCGTGGTGGTGGTGGTTGTGGTGGTGGTGGTTGTGGTTGTGGTGGTAGTGGGCGGGTTGGTGACAGTCGGGCGTGGCACCACGGCCTCCGGGAAGAACTTGGGCGGCAGCGGGAAGGCGCGTGGCGGGCGCGGCGGCAGGAAGCGGTTGGGCTGGTCGCAGATGCTCACCTCCGAGCGGCACTCGTAGGTGCCCTCTGGCTGGAAGAGGGACTCAAACGCATCCAGCGCGGGCGGGAAGAGGTCGCGTGGGGCCGGCGTTGGGCGCGTGTACAGGCCGTCTGCGCGGTCACAGCACGCCTCGTCGCACGAGGCCTCCACCGTGATGAAGAAGATGCACTGAATCTCGATGCTGCCAAAGACACCCGTGGCGGTGGCCGTGTACTGCACCTCCGTCTGACCGAGCGAGAAGCGGTCGCCAGGGACGTGCGTGGAGGACACGCTGAAGGCGGCGTCGCCATAGCGCGGGGTGGGCGCGATCCAAAAGGCGCTGACCGAGGTGCGGCCGGGCTTGGCGGCGATGACTTGGTCGGCGGGGCATCTGAGCTTTGCGCCCACGCAGCGGCCTGCGCCGTCGCAGATGTCGCCGCTCGTCTCCACGTCGCCGTCGTCGCACGCCGTGCCTGCGGGCTTCTCCACAAAGTCGAGGCACAGGCCGTCAACGCACTCTGAATCGTAGAAGCACTGCGACGGCGCGCTTGGGCAGGAGATGTCCGAGCACACGTCCTCGCGCTCCGGGGGCGCCATGAAGGGGGCGATGGGCCGGTTTGGAAGCAGGTTGCATGACGGGGTGAGCGGGGTGAAGCTCGGGCGCGGGAAGTCGGTGAACGCCCGCTGCGCCGTGGTTGGCGTGCTCATGCTTGCAAGCATGGCGGCGACAACCAGCGTTGGTATCGCCAGCATGTCTGGTTGGTGGGTGTGCGGGTGTATGTGGTGGAAGAGAAGACTCTCTGTGTGCGTGTGATGGGGGGGGGGTAACAGGCAAGCAAGGTGGGGGATAATTATTAAGAGCTGGTGATGATGATGATGATGATGGTGATGGTGAAGGGGGTTGATATGGGGTGGTGGTTGATGTCGTCGCGAAATGAAGGCAAACACACACACACGGCAGCGGGTGCGCGAAGGCGAAGCAAGAAGCAAGGTGTGGTGGTGGCGGTGGCGGTCCACGGCAACGGTTGTGTGGTGCTTGGCAGTGCAACGGTTGTTGTGGTGGGTGGCATGTGTGTCGGAACGCATTAGGTTGAAGCTTTGGCGTTTGAGTTTGCTTGCATGCATCACAAAACAATCTACGTTTCGCACGAAAAATCGCTTCGTTGCTGCTTCAGAATCCACTATCCACCAGAACGCAAACGCCCATTCAGTCAAACCCTGACCAAACCTCCGTGCGTGCTTGTGCCGCGCAAAACTCAAGCGTGTTGGGGTGTGTGTGAGTGTGTGCTGTGGGTGTGAGTGTGGGTGTGAGTGAGTGTGTGAGTGAGTGTGTGTGTGTGTGAGTGTGAGTGTGTGTGAGTGTGTGCGTTCGTACAGAGCGTTCTCTCGCCCGTCTCGTCTGTTATGCCGCCATCAAAGTCATATTTGCGGGTGATTGGGAACCAGACCAAACAAAACAAACAACAAGCAAAGCAACCAAACAAAAAACAAAAGAAAACCAGCAATTAAGAACCAAATGACGACAGGCAATGGGAGGCACAAAGCGTCATGTCACACACAACGACACACAAACACACTACCAACCTCCAACATGAGCAAGGTGAGCAGTTGTAACAAAGCAGAGGGGCAAGAAGAAGAAACATAGCGAAGGGCGAAAACCACAAGGACGCAAACACACACACATACACAAAGTACAAAAGTAGGTACCGACAGATACAGCGGAGGTGGCTGGCAGGCACTTTCACCACTTGATGGTTGTGACTACTTCTTGTTCTTCTTCTCCTTCTTCTCCTGCTTCTCTCGCTCCTTTCGCTCCTTTTTCTCTTGCTTCTCCTTCTCTTTCTGCTCCTTCTTCAGCATCTTGGACGACTTGGCAGCAGCAGCCACCTGCAGGCGCGTGTGCATGATTGGTGTGTATGCGTGAAGGGGGGGGGGGATGCTGGTGTGATGGTTGCGGGTTGGGCGAACTTCACGTGATTGGCATCACACACACATAAAAACATACATACATACATACATACATACATACATACATACATACATACATACATACATACATACATACATACATACATACATGCTTATATACATACATACATACATACATACATACATGCTTATATACATACACACGCACAACCAAGGAAGGAAAGCAAGGCAGAGAGGGACGGACGAACCATGGGGTGGGCCTGCTGTTCCTTCTTCTTTGCGCGGCGAAGGCTGAGGAACTTGAACGGCTTCTTCTCCACGTGCACATCCGCGCCACGAATAATCTCCGGATCACGCTCAGGCTCCTGTGTAATTCACGCACACACACACACACACACACACACACACATACACGCACCAGTCAGTGTCATGCGGTGACAACAGTCGGCGTGAGCACGGAAGCAAGCGTGTAGTGTGCAAAAGGGACAGGGAAGACACAAACATGCACACAACACTAACCGGCTCGGGCTCGGGCTCAGGCTCGGGCTCGGGCTCAGGCTCAGGCTCAGGTTCTGGCTGGGGTTCGGGTGTCGGGGGCTTGTCCACAACACCACGGAAGCCATCACCACTGCCGCGTGTCGGTCAAGGGCGTGGTCACAACCATGTTGGTGAGCACAGCAGCAACAAAGCAACAAAGGGGGGAGTAAAGGGGGAGGAGGAGAAGGAGGAGGGCAAAACAGACAAACCATGTGGGCCACACGAAGCCTCGACAACTGTGTTGTGCGACACTACACACGAACGCAACGCGCTCACCGCTCCTTCCAGTTGTCGCGCTCGGAGATGAGGCGCTTCAGGCGGTCGTGCAGGTCTGAAACGGCATTGTGGCAACAGTACAACAACACGGGGTGAGATGATGATTGATGGAATGATGATGATGGCATGATGCTGCTTCTGCTGCTGCTGATGATGATGATGAAGGGGCAGGCAGCACTTGGCGGTGCCATCGAAAGCCGCAGCCGCAACAGAAGCAGTCACAAGACAACAACAAAAGTACACAGGCTCGCGCGCTCTCGTACTTCCGATGGTCTCGTCGGTGTCGCGCCTGTGCTCGATCACGGCCTCGCCGCGAAGGCCATCACCACGCTCCCGCCACCGCTGGTCTGCCGAACGAAGGAACTCGTCCAGTTTCTGCAGGCAATGAGGAAGGAAAGGTGGAGGAGGGGGGTGAGGTGGCAGCTGTGTAGTGATTGCAGTCGTGCAACGTGTCGTGCTGTCATGTTTTGACATACACATACACACACACATACACATACACATACACATACACATACACATACACATACACACACATACACACATACACATACACACACATACACATACACACACACATACACACACATACACATACACACACATACTCTTACACATATTCTTACACATACACACACGTACATGCCCGAACATACGTACACATGCACACACTGCACCTGGAAGCGGGAGTGGAGAGAATCGAACTTGGCCTTGTATTCCTTCTCGAGCTCCTCTCGCGCCTCCTTCGACTTGAGCTTCCACGCCTGGTTTCCCAAGAAGACAAGCGAAGATGGTGTAGAGAGAAGTCACAAAATTGAGGAAATTAGAGAGCAAGGTTCAGCAGCGCATGCATGCAAGCAACGAACGATACCTGGCAAGCCACATATAGTTGCAGGGAGGCAGAAGGGCGATACATGTACACAAGAACGCGCACAGACACAGACACACAGGCACACACACAGGCACACACACACACACAGACAGACAGACAGACAGACAGACACACACACACACACACACAGACAGACAGACAAACAGACACACACACACACACACACACACCTCGCGCTGCTGAGCGAGAGAGATGAGACGGGATTCGATGGGATCGAGGGACTTGCCGACGTCGTACTCCTCACCGCCATGCTCCTGAACAGTAGTGGTGAACCAAACATCATGTCATCTGACGTGGCAGTAGCTTGCATGCATACAAAGACGCACACCCCTTGCTTGTTGCCTCCTCGTGAGTGGAGTTTCAATGCGGGCGATAGGGCAATCGTCTCAATACAAGAAGGTATGACGCAGCTAACACCCGCACAGCGTCGACACGAAGAGAGAGAGAGGGGGAGGGGAGTTGCGACATGACAGGATCCAATGCAACGTCGCACCTGCTGAGCGCTCCAGTTGTCGGTCATCTTGCTGTAGTTTTGCTTCCAGGCCGTCTCCGCTGCCTGGGCCTGCAGTGCACATGGCAAGCGGCGGGCGACATGAGTGAGGCGTGGGCGGATGAGCAGACGCCCAAGCAGAAAAGGCGGGCTGACAGCCCTATGAGACAAGCAGGCACACAGACAGAGAGACAGAGGGACAGAGAGACAGAGAGACAGAGAGACAGAGAGACAGACAGAGACACACTCAGACACAAGCACACGTACTGATTCTGCAAGCGACATGAGACGAGAGTGGATGGGGGCAGCGGCAACGACGTCATAGCCAAGGGACTTTTTGTCCTGCACCGTCTCTGTGTCCCGCACACGCGATGGCCACGATACCAAGTGATGAGTAGGGTGAGCAATGGGAAGAACTGTCGAACATGGCGACAGCATGACACACAGACAGTATGACACACAGAGACAGACAGACACAGAGACAGACAGACACAGAGACAGACACACAGACACAGACACAGACACAGACACAGACACAGACACAGACACACACACACACACACGCACGCACGCACACAGAAAGCACGTGGCATGTGCGATTCTTCTTCATACCGCGCCAGGTCTCGCTGGTGACGTAGGACATGAGGCTTTCGATCCGCTTTGTGCGGGAAACCTCCTTGGCAACGTTCTGTCCACGAGATGCACATGCATCATACGCACGCGTTGCGCAGGGCAGGCGAGCAAGCGGAAAGCGAGTGAGACAGGGCGTGGGACGAAATGCGGAGAGGCAGAACGAAGGATTCACGAGGTGCTACGTACCGTGTCTGTGTCATGCCTGTAGTCGTGGCGCACATCGGCCTGAAAAAAGGCGGGTGGGGGTGGGGCGGCAAGCAGAACGTCAGCAAAGGTGGTGCATTGGGAAGAAGGAAGGTAATTGACCGATCAACACACACAGAGACACAGAGACACAGAGACACACACACACACGCACGCACACACACACACACACACACACACACACACACACACACACACACACACACACACACACACACACACACACACACACACACACGTTCGAGGTCCCGCATCTGCTGGTGGCTGGTGTCGACCTGTGTTCCCGCTTGGCCAGCCTCAAGCTGGTCAAGGGCACGCTTTGCCCTGCACATCGGAACGGCGGGGCGTGATGGCACACGCAGGGATGAGATCCCACGAAAGCAAGAGGCACAAAGGAGATGAACAAGAACAAGGGCCACAAACCAGGACAAGAACAACAAGGACAAGAACACCAATAACAGAGCTGACGAGCTGGAGCGAGAAAGGCAGGTGAACAAAAGCACGCAGAGGCGTGTCGATGTGGTGGTCGTGCATCAGCAGCAGGTGTGCACTGGACCATCACGGCTGCGCACCTCTGGCGACGCTTGCCAATCGCCTCGAGAACAGCCTTGAACACAAACTGGTACTGCACCTGCAGGTTGCACCCAAGACAAGACACAATATGGACAGCACAACGATGTAAGCTGCAAGGGAACGAAGATCCAGGCGGCTGTCGCGCAAGGATCAGATTGCTGCACTGCAAGCAGCAGGCAAACCCAGCAATGCAATGCACGCAGCTGACAGCAAGCATGGGGACCAGACGTGCAGAGAGCGAGGCAGAGTAAGCGACGGACCAGGGTTTGGACGAGGAAGGCGCGGCACTTGCGCATCTCGGACACGACTTCGCACGGGTCAACGCGGCCCTTCTTGCTCTCAAGGCGCCGGATGAGCCTGGATGCATTGGCCACAAGGGGCAGGCGAGCGAGCGAGCGTGCGTGCGTGCGTGCGTGCGTGCGTGTGTGTGTGTGTCAGCATGGGAACGCAAGTGCTTGCAAGCAACAGAAAGCAGAAGGTGAAGAAGAAAAACCAACAAATTGGACATGAAACACCTAAACAGAACACAGGGAGAGAGAGAGAGAGAGACACACACACACACACACACACACACACACAGATACCCACACGCACACAGACACAGACACACAGACACACACACACACACACAGATACCCACACGCACACACACACGCACACGCACACCCACACACACACACAAACATGACACTCACGTGTCAACAGCGATGAATGTGCCTGTGCGGCCGACGCCGGCAGAGCAGTGGACAAGCACGGGTGCTTCCGACCGAATCTCCTTCAACACGGCCTTGCTGCTCACACCACATCACACCAGCAACAGAAGAGACAGCATGGGGTGAGATTGAACGGCACAAGCAAAGCAAGCCAAAGAAACAAAAAAAATTGACGTGTACGTGCATGCAAGCAAGCAAGGAAGCAAGCAAGGAAAGGGAAGCAGGCAGGCGGGCGGGCAAATGGAGTGTTGTTTTGCGCACCGGAAGGAGAGCATTTCGTTTGCCGTGTTAGGCACGCCGTGGTCTGGCCAGGCCGTGTAGAGAAAATGTGTGAGGGGCCGTTCCTGGTTCGTCTCCAGGTTGCGCACGAGCATGTGGCGGATGACAAAGTTGGACTTGTCCTTCTTTGGGCCGAGCACGACTTGGAAGGACCCGTAAGTCACCTGCTGCTGCGAGTCATCTGGCCAGTACTTGTGGCACTTGAGTTTCCCGCCCTCAATCTGAGCACCCCGGGGTCGCGTGAGTCATTGTGCGAGTGAGTGGGCAAGAAAAGAAAAGGTGGGGTGCACAGAAGACCAGAGAAACAAAAGCAGCCACACACAGAGAGGCAAACACACACACACACACACACACACACACACACACACACACACACACACACAGAGACAACACTACGCTGGCGTAAACTGCAGACTTGCTGGCCTACTTCTGCGGGACTTAAGGAGCTTTCCGATACATATCTGCCGAATACACACACAGAGGCGAACACACACACACACACACACACACACACACACACACACACACACACACACAGAGGCAAACATACAGGCAAACACAGGCAAACACAGACACAGACATACACAAACACACAGACACAGACATACACAGATACACACAAGCAAACGCAGATACAGACACAAAAGCGTCACGCACCTCGTTGGTGACCATGGCAATGACTTCGACCTGCTGCTCCCAGATCATCTGCCAAAAGGCGTTAAAGGCGGCCGGGACGGGGCCTTGGGAGGCGATGAAGGAGTTGGGGCGATGGCCGTGCACGAAGCAGGCGTTGATGTAGTCATTGTTGCCATTGAACTGAGCACGCCGTGTGACATCACGTGGTACCAAGTCGTGAGTGAGGCAACGTCGCAGCAAGCAAGCAAACACACACACACACAAAAAAAAACCAAACTCACCAACACACAAAAAGGCGGCAAACAGATAGACAGACATACACACACAGGCAAACACACACACACACACAGACAAACACACACAGACAAACACACACAGGCAAACGCACACAGGCAAACACACACACACACACACACGCACGCAGGCAGGCAGATAAGCTTACTCTGTTTGGCGTGACCTTGACGCGGGTGGCGTCGTATGGCAGGATGTTTCGGTAACGGTTCAAAATCTGGTTCGTCTCTGCGTTGCCTGCTGTGGCAGGTTGGGCTGTGGAGGCCGAAAGAGCACGTGTGAGTGGAGGAATGTTGAGTGGAAGAGAAACGATGATAGGGCATACAACAAATGCATGGGTGGCAGATGCCCAGAAGCTGCTCGTCCGTGACAAGGTGCATGCGCAATGGATGCAAAAAGCACGGCATCCTGCACAGAGAATGCGCATGACTGACCATGGAAGCGGGAGAAGGACGCGTATTCCTGTGACCAGCCCACGCCACCGCGCTGCGACAGCTGCTCTGCGCGGCGCAGCACGTTTGCGTATTGCTCATCTGCACAAGTCACACAGTGCATGCATGAAACAGGGGAGCACGAGAGAAGACATGTTGGCATGAGATGAAAGAGAAAAGAGCGAGGAAGAAAATGCAACCGAATAATGGGTGAGCCAAAAGGAGCAGATATGGAACGGCTTGCAACAAGCACATACCACCCACGGCAACCACATTTACAGCGCCACAACATCGACAGTACTGGCACGCACCAAGATAGGAGATGATATCCTCGAGCTCAGACTTTGTAAACTGGCAAAGCCAAAACGAGAAGCAGAGGCAAACCAAAGCACAACAGAATCAAGTGAAACCAAAAGCAGCGTGAGTTGTGTGGTCATTCGTGGCCATGGACGATGCAGGCGTGAACGTGGTGAAACAGGCGTGCAAACGAAGTCAGCGCCATGTGCGTACCGTGCGCTGAAGAACGTCAAAGGGTGCAACATTGGCGTGCATCGTGGTGGATGATTGAGAGCGAAGTGGAGCTTTTGGGTGAGGATACTGGTACAAGCAAGCATAGCTGGAGCAAACACCACCTTCCACAATCTGACAACACCACAGCAAACGCGACGCAACGCGGCAGACAATAGCACACACGGAACGCGTGCTTGCAAGCAAGCAAAACCACATGGCGCAGACAAACCTTCTTCGAAGCGCCTGTTGCCCCACCAACCAAAGACAGCAAGCGAGACGTGCGAGCATGTGCGTGAGTGCATGTGTGAAGGGAGAGGACTGGCAGTAGCCATGACAAGGTGCACCGCTTCCACCACCAAAACAAACACAACAAGCACTTTGTGGTGTTCTGTTGGTGGTTTGTTGGTAAGTTTGGCGCCCACTAGACTACTGGAATCAAGAGGCACGTGTGACGACAACGAGACGCTGCACATCACACATGAGAGAGGAGGAGAAGGAAGCAAGCCCGGATGAAACGTACCGCCTTCCAGCAGCATGCTCTCATTTGCACCCATGGCTGCTGCGGTCGAGGCAGGGGCAGGCAGGCAGGAGGGCAGGTGTTGTTCTTGTTGTTGTTGTTGTTGTTGTGTGGCGGCGGCAGCAGCAGATGTGTGGAGGAGGCGAGGAGGCGTGGCTTGTTGTTGTTTTTGTGGTGTTGCCCACTGCCGTCACAGCAAAAAAAAATAAAAAATTGTGGTGGCGGGTTTTTGATAGTCAGACATGTTTTGGCGAAGGACCAAACTGCTCACAAACAACAACCAGCACCGCAAGCACACACACGCACTGCCCAGCACACCCTCTCACGATGGCGAGGCCGAAGCGGGCGAAGAGGGGCAAGGCAGCCGCTGCTGCGGACGAGGAAGAGGACAAGAAGACGAAGAAGAGGGTGGAAGATGAAGAAGAGGAGGAGGAGGACGGTGTCATGGACAGCGGCGACGAAACGGAGATCGAGGATGACGATGGCGATGGCGACGATGATGGTGAGGTGAGTGACGATGGGCTGCGGAAGCGGAAGTTGGCCAGAGCCAAGAAGGCCAAGAAGAAGGCGAAGAAAAGCAGCGATGGGGACGACAGCGACGACGACGA